GAGATTTCATCACCCCGCGATGTCTTTTTCTTATTTATTCATTTATTTTCCCCTCCAAAAGATAATTCGCTCTCTAAGATGAATGCGTAATTATGAAAAATGTCAAAGTTGATGGTGAAGTTTTATCGTAGCGTATTTCAACTTGTGAAATGACTGGAATAAAAAGATCGGAGAGATAATAATCACCGGTTCGCTAAGAAATGCGGAAAGTGATGGAAAGATTTTAGACACGAGAAATTTTATAACAAACGGGAGAGGATAAAAGCGACAGCGATAGAGCATAAAGATACAACAAAGAGGGGATATTAAGGGGAGGGGAAAGTGTAGCAACTGGTAATTCCTTTCTTAAGGCTAATTATGCAAGGCGTAAGGCCCCGGAGTGTAGAAACGAGAGCTACAGTCGTTATCTTCCTGTTCTATATACATGAACATAAAAGGCTCCATTCTTTTACGAAAATATTCACATTTCATCGAAGGATAACAACTTTTTGTTTCATCAATCAACTCCTGAAAATATGATAGATATTAAAATGCACAGACACCTTATCATTATTATTTTGTTATAATTACTTAAAAATTCTGCTTTTTTTAATTGATGAAAACAATTCGTTCTCATTATTCTAATTTTTTTATAAATAATAATATACTCAATATATCTGAGAATTATCGGAGACTGTATTTTATCTCGAGGTCAATATTTCGGATAATTTTAAGTTATCGCCTATCGCGAGTCCTGATGATTTTAAATTTCAATGATTTTATACTTGTAATTAAATCCAATACAATGTTTTATATGAAAAAGAGGGAAGCGGGCGTGACCGACGTGAAATTCTTTTGATCGTTACGTTGAGCTTAGAAAGTCTACCTTTCATGCACCACCGATCATCGATCGCGCCTGGGCTTTTGCTAAGAAAAGAAAATTGCCCGAGATTGATATTGCCATTTTTATTCAGATCTGTATTTCCTGTAAACACGGGATGAAACAGGGTCAAAACGTGGGTAATTTACTTGGCATCAGTGGCACGATTTCTCGTATCGAATGAGTTATGTGATTAGCGGAAAATTTAACCCACATTTTCTCCAGAATAAAAAAATACTTTCCGTCATTATTTATCCCCTCGTACTCTAAACAAACAAAAATACGTCAAATCGGTTCAATCAATTTAAAACAATTTAAACAAAGAAAAATTCACAATACACATAAAATCGAAAAGAATCAAAAGATTCAGGGAATTAAAATAATTTTATAGTATTCATCAATTTTTTTTTCCAGCAATTACTTGAGTAATTGGAACAGAATGTGATTCGCATTCTTGCGTGTGGAAATCTACCTCATGTCTTTTGAAATAACAGAATTCCTTCATGGTTTGTTCCTGGGATTTCCACAAGGGGTGGTCGTACGTTTTTCCGTTATCTCTTATCATCAATTTTTCGATCGAGCCGAACACGTGACAGCAAACCGAGGAATACACAGTATTCGTTACCTTTGTCTCTTTTATTCATCTATTGACTGTACAACGACAAAGTTAACGGTACAAGAGTGTCTTGTTTTCTCTTTAACACATGAACGCCCACATCTACCCAGGACTCCAAGTTTGTTCTCCAAGTGCTAGTATATTATCGCCGATACTGAAAGAAATAAAAAAAGAGGATAAAAAAGGGTGGAAGAACGGAGGAAATAGTCCCTCTCCTTTCATTAAATTCTATTACCCATAATTAATGAATAATTTATCAACAAATGGAACATTGAGAACCTCTGGGATGTACATTACGTTGTAGCAGCTGTAATTTTCTTGCTGGATATGTACATACGTATGTACTGATGGAGTCAGCAGCCCAGGAGCCATTGCTTCCCTCTCCATACCATTGAGCATTTGTTTTTTAAAATGTATTTATCTCTATATATGTGGATTTAATGTGTATGTGACTTGAGAGTATATCTCTGTTGCGCAGCTACTTCAGCCATTGCCCAAGGAAACTCTCCTGACTTCTTCCACTCTCTCAACTTCTTGACTTCTTGTTGCTGAGTTAGGCCTTCGCCTTTTATTACCAGTGAAAGTCCCCAACTTTTAGGTGCAGGCGAAACATTTAATATTATACTGTACAAATTCACCACTCACTTATTACTCACACTTACAGCTGTTCTTTCTTTAGTGAATTCCCAGAATTCCTCGGGCGTGCTTTTTTTTCTTACTTTTTTTTTCAAAAAATCCTTCGATTCGAATATTGTCGGGTATGGAAGATATTTTTATTGATATAATGACAAAATTTTATTGCTGCGACGGGAGATATTTCTGGACACTTTCACATTGGAGAAAATTCCGTAAGAAAATTTGTGTTAATCGTGGGAAATGGCTGTCATTTATGGAGTTTAGGGAATATTCAAATTTCGATATTGAATTGGTGAATGGGATTCAATAGCCCGAGGTTACGAGTCTTTTTTTGTACCAAGGGCGCAGCTCCCTTTCCCATATTTATACATTCAGTAATAAATAACCGAATATAAAGGTCATTACGGTCTCAATTCCTCTCCTCACATCCGGTCTAGTATTGATAATTACACATGAGAATGGAATGATTGAAGAAACACTTGCGTTATTTCATTTTTGCCAAGAATTTTTACGAGACATCAAGAGATCTCACGGTACGTTATTCACCC